TAAATTGGATTTTCATTAAATTCAGTTTCTCTTAAATTAGATTTTTGTTAAATTAGACTTCTATTAATATAGATTTTTATTCAATTAGAATTTTCATAGTGTTTGAGAAAGATTCTATAATCTATACGTCTTCGGATATAAAGATTACTGTTGCAATGTTTTGAATAGTAACAGGTTAGAAGCTTTCTTAAGAAGACAGTTCAAATGAAGTATTCTCTGAAACAGTTGTTCAGTAGGAAAGTAACTCTAATGGGCAATTATTCATTAATACTAAGAAGAAATATTTCTACTAGGAAAGGAAAAAGATAAGTTTATCTGGTCTTTAAGTTAGGCAAATGAAAGCACAGTTTTGTTTGTATTTGAAGAAAATACTATCGTTGTGGTACATTTAGAAAAGACATTATCGCTGTTGGAATTGAATAGACGTAGAAAGATAGACATCAATTTGATAGATACGAAAGGAAAAATACACAAACCACGGAACATCTTGTTAACGCGTTTGAAAGATATATTTTCCTTGTACAAAACCTAAAGGATGTATGCTAACTTTTTTTTAACTATAAAAATTTTGATTTAAAAATCATTCGAAGAAATTGTGCGTTGCTTAAGTTGACGATAGTAATGGAAAGGATTTAAGAACTTTCGAAATTTAACATGAATTGCAATTCTCCGACGTTGTGATTAAGAGTAACTAATTTAAATGATTAAAACTTTTTTCGTTAACGATAACCATTATCAATAATGAAAGTATATTTTGGTTTCTGATAACCCGTTTCGGTCACGAGACATTTTTTTTTTAGTTACTAATAATGTATACAAATCTTAATAACCTATTTCTGTTTTTCTTAACCACTTGCGGTGGAGAGACGTGCCACGCACGTCGAGATGCTACTGTTACCGGAACGCCAGCGACGTGTGTAACACGCGAGTGTAAAAAATGTCTTGTAGCGTTACACATTCCAAGCTGTTTTGAAAAATATCACACTCTGCAAGATTATTAATAAATAAATTTAGTATTGATAGACATGTAATTTTATCATCAGTTGATGCGTCTTTATATTCTCCTCTGGAACCCCCCAAACGCTGCTCGAACGCGCCGCGAAGTGATCTGCACTCGACTGTTCTGGCACGCGCAACCGAGAATTTCTTTGCACCGCAAGTGGTTAATTGCAGAGTTGAACTGTGAATTTTCGTTTTATCTTTTCAAATGCATTTTATTGACACAAATTGATACTTGTTATCAGCAACCTAAGAGACAACATTCTTTTTAAATCGGTAATTAGAGTAAGCAAATTTTTTCGACATCGATATTGATCATCGGTAACGAAACAAAATTTTCGCGATCGATCAAGGTTATCGGTAACTATAAATAAAATTTTCTTCATCCATCATGGTTATCGGTATCCAAGAACGATTAGAATATATTATATTCTATTATGTCATATATTATATTAAATGTACCACATTTACGAGTTAACAAAAAAGTTATTTAAATAAACTCAAGTATAGTAAATAAAGTGTCTATATGTACCTAATTATTTCCGTAAGGATCAGAAATACGAAAAAATGTTTCATATGAAAGTTGTATGGTATCAAGGGAAAGGTATAATGATAAGAATTGTTTGACCTTGAGATAACCTTGGCGAGTCCTGCGAAGGTCACGATTAAATTTTTAAACGGAACACTATATTTCTTATAGCAGATTCTTGTAGCTAATACCGAGACGAATTCGAAACACTACATACACATGTACTTTCCGTAAACCGTTGTTGAGTTATTAAGTATAATATAAGTGCACCGTGAGAAGATTTCACAGTCGAACTTTCAACCGGTTTGATGGCTCGCAGGCTTCAAATTTAAGCTTTAGAAAAGCCGCGATAGTGGTCGAATGCTACTTTCCTCAAAATATTCTTCTCCAACTTTTCGTGCATGCTTCGGATCCCTATTCTACTGCAAAATTAATCACCGATCAACCCTAAATTCAAATTTGACCCTGTAAATTCCGGTCTAAAATGAATTTTATCTAAGTCTAAGATGAGTAAAAATAAAAGATCCAGACTGCCGACAAGTGAAGGGAAACAGAAGAAAATTCGATGTTTACTTAGAATTTTCAAGAGAGAATTAATCACCGTTCAACCCTAATGAATTATACTAAAAATTGAATTCTAAGATAGATGAAGATAGAAAATCTATACTACCGGCAAGTGAAACGAGGCGAAAGAAAATTCTACATTTACTTACAATATTCTAGAGAATACTCGGGTCACCGTGAAAGTGAAATTTCGTCGAGGATCGCGAACGCTAAAATTTCGGACACACTGGGGTTCACATTCCCACGAAGAACACGTCTCGAACCGTGTGCCGCGTTGTTCACAATGACTTTCGTATCATTGGCCGCAATCATATATGGACGAGCGAGAACTGAGAAACTCCCTCCTCCTTCAGAATCTATTTACGCCTTATCACCGTTCTGCCTCTAAAACGTCACTAGACATGTTTATTTCTTACACTTGGCCTACTATGCGTATCTCAACGACACTAAAATCTGAAACTTTTACTCGAGCAACAGAGCGAGCATCTACACTTTCCGCAACGAGTATCAGCTGTGATATGATAATCGTCTTTTCTTAGAACTCACAGTTCAATTGTAACGTTTTATTATTCAGCATGAAAATTCGGAATTTTCCTCGATAGATAACGAAGTGCGATTAATCGTTTAATTATACCTAATTCAGTGGTGAATATTCGCAAAGTTTTCGTTGCTCGATGTTTATCGACTACAAACTGAAGATAACGCTCGACGATTTTTCCAATCTAGTCGTAAACTGATTAAAACAATCTCTCTTAGTCGCAGTACATACATCGAATTGTCAGAATATTCGAAGACTGATCGAGCACGATTTGATTGGAAACACGAGAAATATCTAACACACGTAAACATAGACTTAATCGTTTTGTGTATCAAAATGAATTGTTCGATGAAAAGTTAGAGAATCAGGAAACGATATTTTACAAGTCTTAAGGAAATGAGAGTTATCGAACGATCTTCTGAAGGGGAATAAGAAAAGCCACGTCAGATTCGAGACTAGTTTCTGTGTGTTGGTAAACTCTGTTCAAAATAAGAGTAACCTCGCTTCGCGCATGGGGCGTGCCTAAGGCAGGGCTAGAACCACTAGGCGTCCAGACCCCCACTTAACCGCCTATGTTTCTCTCCGTCTTACCCTCTGCTACGCTCTCCGTCAATGCGCAGAACGGACGAGAATCGGTCCGAGTGCAAGGTTACTCTTATTTTGAACGACGTATACCTGTTTTAGTTGTTCAAGTTAGTTACGTTGTTGACAAATTCCGATAACTTCTCTCGTGTTGAGATAAAACGAGTGATTCAGAAAGTACAAAGTCTACTTCTTCGTACCTCCAGCTGCTTTTATAAATTGCGTAACAATGTATATTATAAAACTGTTAATTTGAGAAGTTACTCGAACGTTATCGTTATTTTCAGCGCTACTAGAGAGGCCAACGAATAATGCACATTGCGGAATTATGCAACTATTAGTTAAGGTGCATTTATTCGGATAATTACTAGTCTAGCTTCTCGAAAAACGTTTTATACGACGGGTATTTGTGTGTGGCTCGATAAATGATACTTAAACGTGCTGTGCCTTTTACACTGTTTTTATTTACAGTTGACTCATCGTCGAACTGTTTATTCTACCTGGCAGCAAACGTGTTAAACTGTCCATTTAGATTTTGTTTTTCCCTTTTGGTGAAGATGTGGGGTATATTTTGTTAGACAAAATTTTACAAAGTGTTAATTGAATCGTACTATGTTTCTCTCTTCTCAAAAATAATCATTTGGAAAAATTTGGCAAGCGTGTTGAACTGTCCATTTAAATTTTACTTTTCTCTTTTGGCGAAGATGTGGTATACTTTGTTATATGAAATATTTCAAGGTGTTAATCGATTTCTGGCTCGTAATATTAAATTTCTCACTTTGCAAAAATGGAAATGGAATCTCACTCTCACTTGGGAAATTTAGAGAAGGTCCGTTTAAATTTTATTCTTTTCTTTTGGTAAAGATACAGTATATTTTGTTAGATGAAATATTTCAAAGTGTTGATTGAATCGTCATTCGTAATATTAAATTTCTCTCTCCCCAAAAATATTCGCTTGGAAAAATTCAGGAAACGTCCATTTAAATTTTACTCCCCCCTTTTGGCAAAGATATAGTACATTCTGTTATACAAAGCATTACAAAGTGTTAAATCACACTACATCTCTCTCTCCCCAAAAATATTCACTTGGAAAAATTCAGGAAACGTCCATTTAAATTTTACTCCCCCCTTTTGGCAAAGATATGGTATAGTTTGTTACACAAAACGTTACAAAGTATTCAATCTCCCTCTCCCCAAAAATATTCGCTCGAAGAAACTTGTCAAAGAGAAAATTAATCGCCAGGTATCTCCATCGCTCTCACATAGATCCTAACCAAACCGTTCAAAATTCGTCAGAAAAATTTCCTTCATTTCCACCGCGAAATATTCGTCCAGGACGAGGAAATCGCAGCGAAATGCCCGAGGAGCGTGGCAAGTTGACACGTGCACGATCAAAATAATTGCGGAGTCACTGCCGCGGCTAGTTTTCATTCCTCGAAGCTTCCAGTTCCATCCATCAGTTTCAATTCTCGCAGGCCTCTTCGTTTGCCAGACGTGACTCGTCGTGACTCGGAAATTACTGTTCGTGATACGTTTGAAAATCGAGATGTACACGCGTGCAACAGTCTTTCCTACGACGCGCTCGCAATTTCTGCTCGTCAGTGCAAACCGCTCATTACACCGCCGCCGCGCCACGTTGCATGCCGTGTTCGTCGAAGGAAAATCCTGGCACGCATATCTACTTGCTCGTCCAAGTAAAAACAAGAGTATCGTTCGTTTGAATCGGTGACGTGGGAAACGACCTCACCGGCAACATAGTGCAACAATGATTGCCACCGCAGCATGCAGGATGACAGAAGGAAACAGGAGCTTTTTCAACGTTCGAAATGAGGACGACCGTCGTAGTGGTGGACGTGAACGACGTTTCAATTACTATTCGCGATGGTGAGGTGAAATTACAGGTGAATTATCGGCGTGTAAAATGAAACGAGAGTCTCCGGGCAATTTTCTTCTTGATTTAGGATGTCGAACGAAGGACAATGGAACAGGTGTCACGAGTTACGTTGCTGAAAGTTGGGAAAAATTGGGACTGATGGAGAATTAAGCTTCGTTCATGGCGCAAGAGGTTCTAAGTTTGTTTAATGTTACTATACAGGCAAATTTATTTATTATTCATTTAAAAATGTGTGGTATCAGAAATATAAATAGATATTTATTAACAAAATATAAGAATAACTGTGATACATTGGGCTTTGACACACGCTTCTTCGATTCACGCCTCTCGACTTTTTCAAACACACTTGCCCTTTCATCCCTCGCACGCCGTACTTTATAGCCGGGCCCTTCGTGAGCCTCTTGTCGCCGGGGCTTTTTCCCTTTGGGCCTGGCTGTCGTCGCTCGTCGCCCGCTTTCTCTCTCATCCTTGCAATTACGATGCTACAAATGTGATTTATTAACATTATTTTGCGGCGGATACATGGTAAGAAGATAGAAGGATTCGATGAAATTTTGCGAGTGTCAGAATCTTATTCTGTTGTTATTTAAATTTATTAAAAAATTCGGTAACATAAATCATACAGTTATGGCGTTGTGTATTTAATTTCAAGGCAATCTTTTTCATTTGTCCCTAGAAACACTGCTTAATTAGTATTCACCTGTATGAAGCAATATTACCAAATAAATCGTACAAAATTACACAGGTGGAATTTATAATCGAACGAGTACGATACCAGTTTTCTTTCAGATTACTCAATCGTGCACATAATCAACCAATTTGCAATCAATCAACCGACCGTATTATTACCGCAGACATGGATATACTCGAAAACTTATCTAAATCACATTCGTCTTACCACTCGAACTATAACTTCGCCTCATTGTGATCGAACGGACGACCAATTTAATACACAATTTACTCGTGATTCTCTTTAAGATTGGTAAGAACCTCGTGGTACACTGAATCATCTGAAGTCAATCATGCTTACGATCCGAGCGAATGTTCGAGCCTAGAATGCAATTATCCTTGCACGTTCACCTGTATCCGAGTATTTTTGCTATCTGGCGAGCACTTGGTGGATTTTTCCTCGATCGAAGCCTCATCTTCGTATCCAGCAGAGAAACCAGTCTTCGGGGAGGACGGAAGGATCGACGGCAATTTCAATCTACCGTGAAGTTATATACTTCGAGTCACGAAATTCGCTACCGCGTTGCTCACGCGAACATCCAACAGGCCTCGGCTGCAATTTGCTGCAACTTAAATCCAGTTCGCCCTCGAGAATCAATCGGTTTCGTTTTCTCTCCTCCTTTTCTTATCACCAAGAAGATTATGGTTTTGTTGAGTTCCTCGTGTCAATACACTTGATGAATTCTCTGCAACACATAACAAAGTTTCGCTCGATAAAGGGAATGGATCGCGTGTCCCATGTAAAAGGATATTTTGTAATTTCATGCAGGACTCGTTTCTTGTGCAAAATGTGCAATCTTCTAATTAAATATCCTGTCAATTCTGATAATTTATCAGTTAACTCGAGAAATTTTTAGTTCTAGACCATGTTTGAACGTGTTTCCACGTCACCTTTCTCACGGTGAACGAAAAAATAGGTCGTTCTATTTGAAAAACTGTTAGTGTCGGTGAAATCTCGGGAGGTATGACGTTCAGATGATTTTTACGCACGTAGTCCAATTTTCCAGCTGAAATATAATAACTTTCTTCTCAAGCATTTTTTCCTATCTTTAGAAATAACTAAATAATTAAGGGTGGCAGAGTTAAGTGGGTCACCCTGTATACAGGCAACTCTTGTACGACGAGACAGAGTTCCTACAACACGGTTTCGCTCTAATTTAGTTAAATGGGTGGAATTAACCATTGCGTTTCTGTGACTTGGTCACTAGAGACCCGTTGATTTTAGAGGGATGAAACGCACTGTGACGTAACTGTTTATGTTAATTTTGAAGTGACGATATCGCCTTTGGAAGAGATCTTTGGTGAAGGAAGTATAGTCGGTGGAAGAAATACAGCGTAGAGGAGGAGTGTGAATTTTTTAAGTCCTTAAGGAAGGGAAAGGTTCGACGTCAAGATTCGAACTTGTGAATTTCAGATCCACAGCATCACTGGAGAGTTGATTTAATCGCAACTTCTGTGGGAGAGTAGCGAAGATGGCCTGACTGCTTATTTTCCGCTTATTCGGTAAGGCATTGACGTCGGAAGTCTTAATATTGCTTTGCCGGACAATGG